AAAATAAGGAAAAATATTTGCAAATCATGTACCTGATAAGGGACTTATATTTGCAATATATAAAGAACACGTATTGCTCAACAATTAAAATACAACTGAATAAATGGGCAAAAGAGGTGGACACATTTTTCCAAAGATATAAAAATGAACAAAGAAACAGGTGTTCAACATGACTAGTCATTAAGGAAATGTACATCAGACTCCAATGGAATAGCACTGTAGTCTCCAGGACAGCTATAATCAAAACGTCAAACAATAACAAGTGTTGACAAAGATATGAAGAAAACACCCCTCTTTTTTACTATTAATGGAACTGTAAAATGGTGAAGCCACTCCAGAAAATTCTGGCAGCTCTTCAAAATGTTAGATATAAAGTTAACACAATGACCCAGTAATTCCACGCCTACATACCTACCAAAGAAAGCTGAAACTATGCTTACACATAAACTTCTACATAAATGTCTACAGCAGCATTATTAATAGCCAAAAAGTGGAACCAAATGTCTTTCAACTGTTGAATAAAATGAAGAATAGCTATACAAAGAAACTGGCAATAAAAAGGAATGAAATACTGACACATGCTATAACACAGATGAACCTTGAAAACATTATACTAAGTGAAAGAAACCAGACACAAAATGTCACATAGTGCACCATTCCATGTACACAAAATAGTCCACACAGGCAAACCCACAGAGACAGAAAGTCGATTAGTGGCTGCCAGGGGTGAGCGGGTGGAAAAGAGTGAGAGTAATTGCTGATGGCTAAGGGGTTGTGATTAAAAAATGTTTTGAAATTAGATAGCAGCTACGGTTGCAAAAATTTGTGAATATATTAAAAACCACAGGGTGAATCTGTGGTATGTCAATTATATTTCAATAAATCTGATAAATAGTACAAGCACTTTCTAACTACTGAATACTTTTCTTTTTCAGTACTAGGAATCAAACCAGGGATGCTCAAGCACTGAGTTACATCCCCTGCCAGTTTTAAATGTCTCCTTGCAAGACAAGGTCTTATTAAATTGCCGAGGCAGTACTCAAAGTTGTGATCCTCCTGCCTCCGTTTCCCAGAGTGCTGGTATTATAAGTATGCACCATTGTACGTGGTTCACTAGACACTTTAAAAAAATTTTATCTACACACATATTTTTATGTTTCACATACATAGTCTCACTTAAACCTGATAAGAACTCATACTTTAAGTCCCCTTTTTATTCCTATTTTACACATATGGAAGCTGAAACAGTTTACATATTCTCCCACAAAAGACCAAAGCCGGTGAGGACCGGAAACAGAACTAAAAACACAAGAAGAGTGACCTGAAAACATGCGTGACACCAGGCTTCTTTACCTGCTGACTTCAAAAAATACCAATAATAATTTAAACTGATTTAATCATAAAGAAGTCAAATCACCTCAAAGATTATTTCTCATTCCAGTTATTTTGTAATCTGCCAGAATGTGTAAGGACACGACTCAAACATCTGAAATTACTGAAAAAAAAAATGACTTGAGTATACATCTCTCATAGGTCACTGCAGGAGAGGATTATATTTTTAAGTAGTTTACGCAGAAACAAATGTTTATGCAGAAACGACATGAAAACATCCTCCCCATCAAAAGGCATTCTTCACCCTGCCAGAGATATTCCACTGTGGCTAACATAAAGCTAGTGCTGAGAAAAGACTTGAATGTCCATATGAATAGAAACAGACGCTGTATTTTTAGAGACAAATTAGAACTGAGCCTCACATAAATATGACCTTAAGGGTACTAATGTCTCAAGCCAATCTAAGTTGTTTTGATTCTGTTGTGTTTACTCTGAGGTTCACCATCCATAACAGACAAGCCAGAGATAATCACTGCCAAAGGGCAGCGCCAGCTGCACCAGTGAATACACATCTGCATCAGCAGTGGTCACTGCTTGGTCTGCATTCAGATATCACTGCACGTTTTGTTCTCTTCTCTTTGTGGCAACATGGCTTATCTGTGCTACTCAATTGTTCTCTTTTTCTAAAGACTAATTCAGAGTTAAAAGTGTAAAAAATATTCTGATTCCACTGGAATTTATTCTGATAGATGCTGCGGCTTGAATATGTATGCACCTCTTCCCAAAGGCATCCGTTGAAACCTAACTCCCACTGTATTGAGAGGTGGGAACTTTGAGGAAATTAAATCAAAGAGGTAGAAGCTTTATGACTGTGATTAATACCCTTATTAAAAGGGCTGGGGATTTAGCTCAGCGGCAAAAGCGCTTTCCCGGCAAGTGCAAGGTCATGAGTTTGGTTCCCGGTGCTGGAGAAAAACCAAAAAAAAAAAAAAAATACCCTTATTAAAGAGGCCAAGTCTGGGCCTTATTTGCCACTTCTGCCATGAAAAGATGTGGGAAGAAGGCACTGTTTATGAAGCACAGAGTGAGCTGTCACCAGACACAAGATATGCTGGTGCCCAAGGCTGGACTTCTAGCCTCAGGAACTGTGAGCAATACATTTTTGTGGCCTATAGGTTACTCAGTCCAAAGGAGTACTATTTTGTTATAGCAGCCTGAGCAAGCTACAAGAGTGACTTTGGGTTACATGAACGACAGGGATGGAAAGGTAGCACCCCCTACTAATCAATATGTATTCTTAGGTTCTTTCTGAACATCCTGTGGTGATTAGTCAGCATTAGGAGAGTGTACATCACCAGGTAAACTGTTATGCCTCACCCTATTCTTATATGGTTGAGGAAGGAGTCATACCTTAGTTAAATTTATACAGTGAGAAAACATGTCTCTCAAGAGCACAAATAATGTACATGAGAACTCACACTCAACAAACCCATTCAGTATTCCTTAACAGGATATTAGAGCAGATTGTTTACGTCTTAAAACACAAGAGCTAAGCTCTTTTTGGTTTAGTAAATTTGTGGATGATAAATATCAAATGGATTACAGATAGTTTTGTTAGATCATTTTTTAGTATAGCACTGACTTGTCTTTTCATTCAATCCTTGGCAATGTACATCTACTCCAGGCTGGTTCCAGTTCAGGTGTCTGACCGAGAGCCCACAATAGCAGTACTATGTGCTAAGTATAACCATGGTGGAGCTCAGAGAGGAGAATGGGCAACAGTGCATTTGGGAAGTGCTCAGAGGAGGTCCCTGGCAGACAAGCACCAAGGGCCACCATATTACCTTCAGCAGAATCAAACATCAGGATGGTTGAAATGCAGGTCTCTTCTAGTTAGACCCTTTCTTTCCTAGAAGTACTTCAACAATTCTATGAGATTGTGAAAGGTCAGTAGTTGTGTATACAGAGGTTGGACTTCTAGCCTCCGGAACTGTGAGCATTTCTACTTGGCTATAGACTATTTTGAACAAAGTGTACATGTCAAACTTTGTGTACTTAATATGTAACTTATTTCTAAAAGAAACTTTCATTCAGAGGCAAGCACCTTAGAGCTAGGAGTCCATGTTAAGGATTTAAATTAAGATTCTTACCACACACCAAACATTAATTATCAAAATGCATATTATAAAAATGTAGTTTTGGGCTGGGGATATAGCTCAGTAACACAGTGCCTGCCTGGCAAGCACAAGGTCCTGAGTTTGATTCCTGGTAGAAAAAAAAATTATATATATAATACATAGAAAGGGCATCAGCAGGTCCTGGTGGCTCACGCCTGCGATCCCAGCTCCTTAGCAGGTTGAAGAAGGAGGATCACACTGAACATGTAGTTCTGATTTAACATGTTTGTAACTTTGTTTTATAATTTCAGATTTATAAAATGTTACAAAACTAGTAAAAGTATTCCCATATATCTAAAAAAAAAAACCTTTGTGTACTAAGGGCAACGTCAGAAAAGTGGCCCTTCCAGGGTTCACATCCTCTGAAATCCTGCCTAGTAAGGGAGCATTTGGACAGGGACTCTCTGGAAAGTACTGCAGACCACGCACTGAACAATCCAAAGGGACAACAGAAACATGGCAGAAATGAATATTCCTTATGCTGGCAAATGGCAATAAAGAGGTTGGGTTAACAAAAGCCATATATTAGATAATTTCTGAGAGATGGAAATAAAGCATTTTAAGGAAAAGATACCTTTTTTCCTGATTCATTCACAGCTACTTTATAGATTACCACCTCCCAATTTCTTATTCACCCTAAGTCTTACACTTGTTTCTGCCAGATGAAGGGAGGAAGCTACACCCAGCATCCTCTGTCACTGGTACCGTTATCTTTCAGGGTTTCCCCACAGATGTCCCTAGAACAAGTGGTAACAATACTAGAGGATGAAAAGAGGAACTCAGAGAACAGTGGCTGGGACAGAAATAATGTTACACAGGCTGCCTTCACTCCTGTCACTTGCTCCTGGTGTCTGTTGGCTCTCACCAAGGTAAGAGTTCTAGGCTCCATGGCTCCTCTGCCTGAGACTTCAGGGCTCCTTCCTGTGATTTCATTTCCACTGGTATCTCCAGCAGGAAATCAGGCAGGATGCCCCAACCAAATGGCACAGCACCTGACCTGATGTACCGCACACAGCAATGTTCTCAGACCATGATAGCCCAACAGAGTGTTAGGTTTATGTACAGAAATAACTGTCACTGAGCAAAGGGAATAAATGTAATTATTAGGTAAAGTGCATTTCTGGAACAACCAGTGGATTTCATTTATTCCTGACTTCATTGCAGTTCATATTATAAAGCAAACACTCAAGGAAAACTGGCTCGTACACAAGACCAGCCATCTTTCTGTTCAGCTATCCATTTCCTTTCTCAGAGTGAAAGCTGGCAAGTGCCACAGTGAATTTCATTTTAATGAGTATTAGAAATGGTTTAATTAAAAAGAAAAATAATAAAGTGCTTCATTCAAGGAAGTGAAAGATGTTATTTATGTTTGTAGGTAACATACAAGTTTTTAAAAAGGCAGGAGTGAAATTAAAATCAAAGAAAGTCATCTCTGCTCTGGGCAGTCTGAAAAGTTCCTGAAATAGACAGTGACGGGAGTAACTTGCTTACCTTATAGTTGTTCATGATTTCACTCAGCCATGGCTTCACGGACTGCACTGTATCTTCTCGCAAGTACTTTTCAACTTCAGCTCCGTCACTAAAGGGCCGGTTTCCCACGTGGATAGCTTGTCTCACTTCTGGGAGGGACAAAAATTTCCCATAGTAACTCTGGTCCTCGGGATCCTAGCAGAGGGTCCAGGAGAAACATATTAGGAAACATGATTCTGTGTCAGGGAACCCTGCAAAGTTCTCAATACATGGAGCACCGTATGTAAGATATGACCTGAGTACTGTCCACATTCTGGCAATTTTAACTAGAAGATTCTGAGGTGTAAGTGGGATCCTTTTATTACAAAGAGGAATGATCTGGTACTCTTGCAGCCAATTCCAATTTACAAATGCTGAGCTTTCCTGTTCAGAAGCTAATCTTTTGCAATCTCTGACTATAATTAGAAAATCCCTCAAAGGTAAAGATAGGGAAAAGAGGTGAGATTATCCCAATTGGTGGTTTCTTGTTGATGGCTCTATCTCAAGGTCCAGGGACCTAAGGTAGGTGGTGGATTAAAAGTCAAAAATTTCTTTTCTATGATCTGCTGATTATTAAAGCTATACAAAAATATCAGCTAACTATAACTTAAAGGAGAGAACTATATCAGTTTTAACAACAGATGATACTCTATGAAGGGGACATGACAAAAGAAATTTCTCCATAAAAATCACACTGTATAAAAATCTTTGCAATACTCGTTATGCTGGAATAAAAAAGAAATAATCTTTTTAAAAAAAATCTTTTAAGTTACAAAAGGACATAAAACTGTGAGGGTTTTAATTCAGCAATTTTGTACTTCATCAACAGTTTTTGTTAACTGTGAATATATTACAGAGAAAAACTGAATATATTACAGAGAAAAGAATTTGATCACAAATTTAGTTTCCCTTTGCCTTAACATGTGGTCTGCTCTTGTTAGAATCTTAATCCAAAACCACAGAGCTGGCAAATTCCACTGAAATTGACTATATTTTATTTACAAATAGTTCATAAATGAGGCAATTTATAAAAACTAAATGTATTGTCAAAGGCACTAGACAAAGATTATGCAAATCCAAACCCCGCTTTGGCTCCTTTTCTCTTTTTTGATTAGTTCTACATAAAAGACATCAACTTTGGCCTACTTTTATGAAAGAAACCACTTGAATACTTGAAGAAATATTCCAGAGGGCTTGAAGTGAGGGCCATACTAAATGGACTAAACATCTCAAGTTAAAAGTAAGACAAAGCAAATATTTTCTTAAACGCAGTGGCAGCTTTGATTATCCAAGCCATCTTAAGTACAGAACAAAGAATGTGGGCATTTGTAAGACACTCACAAGCAGGCTTGAAAGTGAGACCTGATTGCCCAGGACAGCAATCCCAGCCTGCCCTTTCTTTATGCTGGGCCCCTCCATGTAACAAGCTTTTGGGGGAGGGGAGCGGTGTGCTGGGTGTCTCAGAAATTGTTCTGTGTTATCTGGAATATCACATTCTCTATGACCAGATGGAACACAGATATACAACATTGGTGGGGACCAGATCCCACAGGTCAGTAGACCAAATCGAGCACTATACTTTGGGCATAGTTGTTTGATATAAAAACAGCTATAATGTTTCCCAAGTTAGAGAGAACTTGCTTTGGCCAAAGGTTTTAAACAAACATTACTGTGGTTTTTAAAAAGTTGTCATTACCGTGCACTGCAAAAGGTTATAGTAGCTAGAACATCCTGTCACATTCTGGAAGAAAGAAGGCTCACTTGTTAAGTCACCAGCTAACAGGCTATCCAGTATCTAGGTTGGAAGAGAGGGAGAAAGAAAAGGAAAAGGTCAGGGAGGTGACATTTGTCATTTCATTAGATCAGAAACTTTTCATTCCTTCATTGTTTCATTCGCCAGGCATTCATTGCACATCTGTGTGCTAAATGCTGTCCTAGGCATCAGGGAAACCTCAGTGAATAAAGCAGATGCAAATCCTACCTCTTGGAGATTGGATTCTGGGGGGAGACAATCGATAAGCATTACTAGGCAAAATAGGTAGTGGGTTAGAGAGTGACAAGGAGAACAAGAATAGGAGGTGGCAGAGGTGTGCACACACATGTGTAGGGGACGCTGGAGACATTGTCTCGCTTAGAGTCTCACATTTGAGTTAATGCGAGTGGATGGAAGGAAGCAAGTCATACAGACAACTAGGAGAAAAATATTCCAGGTGGAAGAAACAGCAGAGCCCTTGATGGTGGGAGGAGCCTCATGGAAATGGTTGCCTTAACCTGCCTCGTGGACCAGTCACCCACAGTATGAGAGAGGACAGAGGAGGTGAGCCTAAACGCAGGGGCTTGGAGTTAGTGGACCTCATCTATGGACTATGTTACGGAAAACAGTCTCAGCAGAGGGTGAGAGGGGTCAGCGGCCTGTGTGCACTGGGGAGGGAGTGGCAGGCAGCAAGGTCGATTTAACGAGGGCTATGGTGTAGCCAGAGGAGGTGGAGGAAGAGCGAGGGGCTTCAAGGTCAGGAATGTTTGCCCTTGGTGTACATTAGAGAAGACCTGGGGCGCTGGAGATGATGATGAGGCAGCAAGAGCAACAGGTTGAAAAGGAACAGGTTGCAGGAGCAGCAAAGTAGCCAAAGTTCTGCTAACCAAGCTGAGCACCCTGGCTCTGGAGAAATGGTCACCCTTTGCCCTCCAAAGGGAGGCATCTGCTTGCCAAACTCTGAACCCACAGGTCTGTAGCACAGAGGAGGTGTCTGTCTTTTTCTAATTTGTCCTCCCAGAGGGGATACCACAGGCCAGTAGTTGTCTTTAATATATCTAGCATTTTTGGAACTCATCTTTAGGGATTTTATCTTCAGCACTAATGGAAGTATAAAATCAACTTTTAAAAGAATGGATTTGGGGGCTGGGGATTTAGCTCAGCGGCAAAGCGCCTGCCTGGCAAGCGCAAGGTCGTGAGTTCGGTTCCCGGTACCGGAGAAAAACCAAAATAAATA